ATGTTGGATGGGGCAATCAATTCTTTTCAGAATTCAGAATAGAGACTCCATTTTTGGTTATAGATTCTTTCCTGTAACTAGTTCTTCTTTGTTGCTACAATATTCAGTGTTGATTGAATGAAATGTTGTATTATCTTATTTTTCTATAGTTTATGGAGAACTGCTTCCTGAATTTACAATTTTTGCTTTCTTGGATTTGGAATCAAATTCACAAATGGTGTGGTTGACCCTTCACAACCGGCAATACTTAATGGGAGAAAGCAATAAATAAATGCAGACTGAAAAGGACAGGTAGTTTGCACTTATGGCAATTTCGATTAAATAATTGCCTCCATTCTTCTTTTATTTAGGATTTGTTTTGTCTTGTATAAATAATGTGGTAATAAAATATGGGTAAACTTGTTTAGTACATAAACTATCAATTTTGATCCGTTTCAGTATCTAAATTTTCATTTCTTTTCAAAATTATACCTAAAGTTAGCTTTTGTTTCATTTTAGTATCATCATTAAAAACTTAATGGACAGACTCGTCAGCCGTTGCATCCTCGGCCGATGAAGTCCAAACTTTTTTACTTGCACCTTTCGACCCTAAAAGCGATTTTAGCCTCCATTTTCACCAAAAAAAGGTTTCAATCTATTCAAATCGACGATGGACTCTTGATTTCTTCATCCTCTGACTCCATAGTCCACCTTCCAATGGGCCTAAAACTGAATTGTTGGTCGACTTGTCATTTTTTTGTGGTCCACCTTTCAGATTGATCATATGTCTACCGAAAATCCATGTCAGCCCGTCCGTTAAGTTTTTAACAACAGGATACTTAAAAATGAAAAAAAAACTAAAAGTTAGATTGGTTTGAAAAAAATAGGTACTAAAACAGACTAAAACTAATAGTTTATGTGCTAAACAGGAACTTTACCCTAAATAATGTATATAAAATCCTAAAAAAATAGAGTTAACTACATGTCTAGTATTCTAACTATTACTTTTTCATTTAAATTACCCAACTATTTCTCTTTCAATCATATATAATGTTTAATTTTGTCACCTACCGTTAAAAAATTAATGGTATGTTGACATGTCACCTACCGTTAAAAAATTAACGGTATGTTGACATGTCGCCATAGGATAATGTCACCTTGTCACTGAAAAAAAATATCATATCAACAGTTCTGTTAATTGTTTAAAGAAAAACGTAATGTTGTTTGATCTTGAAAGAAAACGTAATTGAATATGATCTTGAAGAAAAAAAATAATTGAGTGACCAAAATATAATGTAGTTTAACCTCTCATTATATATTATATTTCAAGGAGTGATTAGGTGAATTTTGTTTGTTATAGAATCCTTATTACAATTTCATTTTATCAGACAAACCCTCCAATTGTAATAATCCTAGTAAAAACCTTGATTCTAAACCCCAGTATACAAAAAATGTAATGGACCTCACCCGTAAACAATCATTCACTTAACGGGCAAATGATTAGAAGAGATACACATTCGTTAAAAATTATATTCAGAACTTAGAATATAAATTAGTAATAATTCCAATAACCCATTTTCTCTCACGAAGAGAGGGTACTCATGATGGACTTGGACTACACTTATGATAATTGAACGATAATGATATATCATATTAGGTTTAATACAAAAATTTTCAAATTATACAAAAAAAAAATCAAATTATTCAAGCAGGGAGTGGCAAGGGCACTGGGATGCGTGCCTGGGTAACGACACAAAAACTGAAAAAATTTCAAATTATACAAAAAAAAAATCAAATTATTCAAGCAGGGAGTGGCAAGGGCACTGGGATGCGTGCCTGGGTAACGACACAAAAAACTGAGTGCGGCGTTATAGATCAAACATCATGGGAGGAGTTCTGGGAAGGGATTGAATGAAGGAGAATTTGGAAGCCGTTGGTATGCTCAGAGTCGTGGGTCACAAATTAAAGGGTGAGACTTGGGAGAGGGGATTAATTCAAAATATGTTCGGATTCAACGAGAGGGTTGTAAAAGATGAACGATGATCTAGCACCTAGGCATAGCGGTGATGAGGCGTTGCAAATGGTGGAAGGGTGAGTGATATTGAATAGATAAAAAAGCTCGTATCTCAACCAAGTAGAAAGGTACAGTTTGAGGTGGCGGTGAGGCGAAGACGGTCGGGCAAGGGATCTGAATCCAAGATCACTGGAGAGAAAGAGGAGCAGAGGACACTGACGACGTTGGGATGGAGGCGGCACAAAAGGGGGTTAGTGTTTGGCATCTTCAAGATCGAAGAAAGAAGATAATAAAGCTAAAAGGGGTAAATTTCTTGGAAAGGCACATATCTACTTAAGGTTTGCGATAACACCTCAAAACTTCTAAACTTCGAAGTTTAAACCTAAAGTTTCCAAAACATTTATTATAATCCTACAACTCTCAAGAATTATGATTTACCCTTCAAACTTTTAGAAATTCTGATTTTGTACCGCAATACCACATTAAACTTAATTTAATCTTAAGCTTTCTCAAATTTATAATTTAATCCCTAAACTTCCGATTCTCTTTTATTGGACTGTTAGAAATTAATTAGTGAAGGATGGATGATATAAATCTTGCATATGAAATCGATGTAAAACGTATGATACTGACACGTCTCCACTATGTTCGCTTCCTTTAGATTGATATATGACAAAGGTGTGTTCCGTTTCTACTAGTTGATATGATTTTATTTTGTTTATAAAAAATAATATATTAAATAAATTTTAATTAGAATTGAATAAAAAACAATTATACAAACTTTTATCAATATATTTTAATTTAATTTGTCAAGTAATTTAATAGAATAATTATTTTATAATAATAATATCCAAACCAATGATCAACTCTCTTAAATTAACTTCGTTTGCTTAGGGTGTTCATTGTTCGATTTTAATCGAATTAATCAATCGAATCAAATTTTAGTTCGATTAATCAATTAGATAATTAGATGTTAGATCATTAACTATTAAGAATATTTATAAATTTTAGTTAACAATTAATTCAATTTGAAATTGATTAATTAACCTGATTAATTGAAAATATTAAATAGTATATATATATATATATTTAAAGCTCAAAACTATTAAGAATCAAGATCTAACTTCTTTTAACTAAATTAGAACAATTAAATTTTCAAGACTCAATCAAACTTTAACCTTATTGAAAACAATACTTCTATTAAATCTAAATTAATTAAATTAATTTTTTTAACAAATTTCAATTAATTTGAAAACATAAAAATTTGTTCAATTTTATAAATAAATTTTAAAAAAAATTCTATTAACAATTAAAGAAAAGATCGATTAATTCAATTTTAATTAGTTCATTTCTATCGATGATTGAATTAACGATCTTAATAGCCTTATTCTATTCAACCACAATCTATATTTTTCCTTTTTTGTTGTCCTTTTGGATCTTAAAGTTTTGTCCGGTTAATTTGGACTAATTCAAGTCTTATATCTAGAGATGGCAACTCAACCCGAATCCGACGGGTTCCGACCCGACCCGACCCGACCCGATCGGGTCGGATTTTTTTAAAAAAATTTCGGGTTCGGGTCGGGTTTTTTTTAAATACACTGTTCGGGTCGGGTCGGGCCGAGTTTAGGGTAAAAAAATCCGACCGACCCGAAAAATATATATAATTTTATCTTATATATTTAGGGATAATTACAATAATATCCCTCCATATATAATCTGTTCGGGTTTTATCTTATATATTTAGGGATAATTACAATAATACCCTCCATATATAATTTTTTTTCAATTAAGTCACTGTTTTCATTGAATTAATTTTTTTTATTATTTCGGGTCGGGTCGGGTCGGGTCGGGTTTCTAAGTCATATATTCGGTCGGGTGGGTCGGGTGAAACATTAATTTTGTCGGGTCGGGTCGGGTCACGGGTGGAGAGCCCTTTCTTCTCGGGTCGGGTCGGGTGGCTCAAAAACCCGACCCGACCCGACCCATTGCCATCCCTAATATCTAATTTTAATAGATAAATATTTGGACGAGAATTTTTTACATATATAAAATTTTAAATTCAAGAACTATTTAAACGATATCAAATTATTTATTTGGACCATTCCGACAGTAACCACAATCTACATTTCACTAAATGAAATTTGGATTTGGCTTATGATAAATCAAATCCCTAAAATGCATCCAACAAGTGTTGCATTGAGCTCGACTCTCTTCAACAAATAAACCACTAACCTCCCCACTACCCACCGTGCGGTCCATCCATGTGTATAAAGTAGAGTTCTATTTTCTTCGATCGATCGAATATAAATGTCCCTGCGCTTGTTCAGCACTAGCAATATTCCCACTTGGCTTCTTTTCAATCGCCCCCTTTTCGCGCCTAAGCTGATCTCTCCTTTTTCTCCACTCCAGATTTCATCCTTTGCTATGTCTCATCGCCCTAACTACCAAGGTGGCCGTCGGGGCGGTGGTCCCAACTCCAGACGCGGCGGTGGACGCCGAGGAGGAGGAGGAGGAGGACGCGGTGGCGGAAGCGGACTCGGAGGTCGTGGCGGCGAGAAGCGCTGGAGGGACCCAGTTTGGCGTGCTGAGCGCCTCCGTCAAATGGAAGCTGAGGTATCTAAATGCTGTGGAGTTTTGTTTTGGCTGTTTGAAATTGTGCAATGAAGGTTTAAGCTTCTGATTTAAGTGTGCTCATTATGTAATTAGCCTCTGTTTTTGGCTGTTTTCTGATTGACATTTGGATACATAGGTAAAATCCCAGCGATTTTGAATAATTTTGATAAATAAAAATTTTAACTATCAAAATTCAAAAACATTCTTTGTTTGAATATTGGTGTATCAAAATTTATTTTTTTCCCCTTGTTTTTATCCTAACATATTAACTTTTTATCATTTGCTTTTGCGTTGGAAGTAAATCTTTGTAAGAAGCAAAAAATGAGTAATAAAATTAATACAAAAAGGAAGCTTATGAGTATTATTATTATTAAACATACTTTTGGTTGTGTTTGATGGAAGTTCTTGATGAGGCTGAGTGGTGGGATAAGATGAATCAAATGAAAAACAGGACAGGAGCAAGAGATTATCTTTAAACGAAATTTCAGCCGTTCCGACCAACAAGTTCTTTTTGATATGGCCTACGAATTAGGTCTTTACTTGTATGTGTTCTATAACCACTTCTCAATAGCATCATATTTAAGTTTGAATTTTTATTTCCCTATCATTTTTTTCAAAGTAGAGATGGTTGCTTTTCATTCAAATATATATTAACTTTTTACTTAATTGTTACAATCCCCTCCCCACCCCACCCATGGGTCTTGATTTTGAATTTGTGGAAAGGAAGCCATGCATATAATAAAGGGAAGGCTCTTGTGGTTAGTAAAGTTCCATTGCCAAATTATCGTGCAGATCTTGATGAACGTCATGGATCAACACAGAAACAGGTTAAAACTGAGTAGTATCTATATTCTTTATGTCATTGTATGCTTACTGAGCTTGTTCTATAAGTTCTCATTTTCCAACTTTTGTACAGATCCAAATGTCTACAGAAACTGAGAGGCGAGTTGGAAATCTTTTGGATATCTCAAAGGACACAAGGTTGGGTGATGATTATGGAGTCGCATCTAGTAGGGGAGCCATAAAGCCTTTGCCTGATGCAAAAGGAACTGATTTAGTTGCTACAAATGAAACTGATTTGCGAAGGAAAAACTCAGTGCTGAACTCAAGAAAAAACAGGAAAACTTGAATGTGTGTATTCTAATCGTGACATTCTATTATATAATTTTTGTTAAATCCATATGTTCCTATGGTTCAGGTTGCCGTGCTTAATATTTCGCATGTTATTTAATCTCTTATAGGTAAGTAACAGTGCGAAGGTGATGCGGTCTTTCAAAGAAAAACTACCTGCATTCAAAGTTAAAGCTGAGTTTCTAAAAGCTGTTGCTGAAAATCAGGTCTAATACTTGTTAAACCATTTCTCCTGAATTCAGATAGCATCATTTTCTTTCTTTGGTGTTACTAGCTTGTTGATGGCATGTTTTACTCTGTAAATCAGAAAAGAGGTGATAATTAGATGCTATTGTAGAAGTGTAATAATTTTTTTTATAAATATGGAACCTCAAATAAAATATTCACTGTGCTTACTATGTTCAAGCCTCTTTGATGTAATTGCACGTGTCTTTTCTTTATGGAAAGAAAAGAAGGCTTTCCACATGCTGGATGTTCCAAATTGATCAGCGCGTATATATTCATAACCCTTTTTTCCTTATTAGACTATTATGAAATTATCTATTAGTTGTTTTGGTATGTTAAAGGCTATTCTAAAATTGTAGTCTCTCTATGTGCGGTGTATTGTGAAGCTATCTATTAGTTGTTTTGGTATGTTATATTCATTGCTAAGATAATAGGCTCTTTATACTCATGCTTGTGTGCTTGGAGGATAAACTGAAAAGTTTGCATGTAAATTTCAAAGAGAGCTGAAAACTTGAATTATCACTATAAGAGTTGAGGAACCAAGCTGAGCTAGTAAAAAAGCTTTAGTTCATGCCCAATGAACTCTTGTTCATTGAAGTCAATCAAGCTGTGCTCAAGCATTACTAAAAAAAAACTTGACGCAACTAGTGACTTGATTAAGCTTTGTTTGTTGCTGTTAATCACATTAAATTTCAATTATAGGATAAAGTATTGTGCTATATCTTTATCTGCATGTTAAATATACAATTTATTACAAAGGAATTTAACTAGGCCTGCAATTTTATTAAATCGACTAGGTAAGTATTTAAATGCTCTAAATCAACTTGGTTTCACACTTCCACTACTTGAACTATTCAAGCTCAATTTTATCTCCATGATGAATTAGCCTAGTTCAATTACTCAATGAGTCATCCTAATGAGCTTGCAAATATGTTTTCTCGCATACACTCCAAAGGAACTATAAGAAGAGGACATAAAACGTAGTCAATGATGGGTTTCAGGACACCACAGTTTGCAGATTTTGGATTCCTTCATGGTCAATATTGCTTCTCTGTGTCTCCTTCATCTATCATCCTCCATTTCTGTTGGCTTTATTTCCAATTTTTATATACTGACCTACCATGACATGATCAATAAGATAGCTCTATAATTCTATTTATTTCCTTGTTTGCAGTGCTAAAGAGATGTCTGATTTTTGTTATTTAATCCAATGGTACAGGTTTTAGTGGTTTCAGGAGAAACAGGCTGTGGTAAAACACACAGCTTCCTCAGTTTATTTTAGAAGAGGAGATATCATCTCTGAGGGGTGCTGATTGTACATTATGTACTCAGCCACGTCGTATATCTGCCATATCTGTTGCAGCTAGAATATCCTCAGAAAGGGGAGAGAGTCTTGGTGAAACAGTTGGTTATCAGATTCGCCTAGAGTCAAAGCGGTCGGCTCAAACACGGCTCTTGTTTTGCACTACTGGAGTGTTACTTCGACAGTTGGGTACTATAACATCGTCATTTTCTGTTAATTCAAGTTCTTACTTCTGTGTTACATTGCTCTCTTCCAAAGTTCTAGTGATACTTGAAGGTTTTTTTTCAGAAATCTGATTGTTATTATAGCTTGGCTGTTTTTAGCTATCCTGTCACTAGCAAAGGGTTTTTATTTCTTCCTCAGTCTATCTTGTCACTAATGAATCATACTGTCACGCTAAATGCATCTTGCCAGTGAATTCTTTGGATGTTAAAACTAGAGCATTTGTTTGCTTCATGTGATATTTCCACCGGTCAGCTAGTTGTTTCCCTTCTAGACATTGTTTTTCGTTTGTCGTTTTTCAAACTGTAGGTTCAGGACCCAGATTTAAATGGCGTGAGTCATTTGTTAGTGGATGAAATCATGAAAGAGGCATGAATGAGACTTTTGTTATAATTTTGCGTGACCTTCTTCCTCGACGTCCAGACTTGCGTCTTATTTTGATGAGCGCTACCATCAATGCTGATTGTTCTCTATGAAGAAAGATAATTTAAGTGCACTATTTGAGGTACGTATTCAATCATCAGTCTATTTTTAATTGTTTAATTATACAATAATACCAAAGGATCGTTACCTAGTTATGCTGCCACTAAAGTGGGACCAGACATTTATAAGTGTCACCATTCTGCCATTTTTTCCCTTAAAATTTTAAATCGATATAAAAAATGAACTAACTAGTAATCCATAAGTTTACCATAGAGGGTCATTGTATGGGTCTAACCAAACCAGGTTACTTATAGTAATGGCCTGAAACCACTTTACTCTTTGGGTTTTGGCGAGCTAATTGGTTCTTATCTAGTTCTTTCACTCTTGTGCTTCTTAGCTAATGCCTTCCTTCACCCCCATACTATGGCAACAATTAAGCATTTTATGTATTGTAAGTTTATTAGAGATTTAGAGCTTCGTCTCATTTATGCTTTACAGAGTCTAGACTTGCATGGTAATTGTGGTTGTTGTGAGTGCGCCTTTTAGCTTTATTTCAGATGTTTTCCGTCTCTATGTGCCTCTATCTTTATCTCACAATCTCTCCATTTTCTCATTGTTATTAATTCATACTGTCGTTATTAGAAGTTTAGCATTTATTAATTATGGATGTAATGCTTTAATCTGATAATCTGAATTTGTACCCTTTTATTCTTCTGCAAATAGAACCACTTAACTTGAGAAAGAATCATCAAGATAGACTGCAAAAAGGTGGGGGAAGCTGGATGGGAGTAGAGAGAGCGAGAGGGAGAGAGGAGCGGAATCGCTTTGAGTCTCTGAGGGAGATAGAGAGGGTCTGGAGGTGGATCGTGGGTTGCATTCGTGACAATCTTAGCAGGAGAGTGCATAGAAGTGTATTATGGGATCGTTTTAGCCTCTATGGTAAGGTGATTAAAGTTTTTATTTCGTTTGTTATAGAAGACTCATTATAAGGACAAGACGTTTGCCTTGTGCATTGCGAGTAAGGAGGATTTGATTAAGGCTAAAGAGAAGATGAACAAGGTCCTAGTTGATGGAGGAGAATATTGGGTCATATGCGAAATATCGAAGAGCAGTTTTCCGAGGAACTTGAAGCGCAATAGTGTCGCAGAGGCTGCAGGTGTAGGTGTAGAGATGTCGAAAAGGAAAAATGCATCTAGCCAAGTGGTTGAGGCAGGGAAGAAGGAGATGATGAACAGGTTCCATGATGGCAGAACATATAAGGATACGTAGTAGGTTTGAAAAAGGTGAGGGTCAGCAATCCAGAAACCTTGGTGATAAGAGAGAGGAGAAGAAGCCTTTGGATTTCTTCATTCCAATGGAGGAAAGATCTGGATGAGGTCGTCTTACCAGGTATCGTTAAAGCGATATTTGAGGTTGAATTTGTGCAAAGGGCATTGAGAACTGAAGGAATCAATGTCAAGGTAATTGGATGAGATATGCGAAAAATGCATGTTTGATATTATTCCAGTCTGTGAGGAGAAAGAAGCAGCATTGGAAGATAAGTGGGAGGCTTTGTCTTTTGGTTTGAACGGTTGGAGTCTGTGATAGAAGACAGGGGTGTTCCATTACCTTATTGTGCAGTATCCATGATGGGCTTTCCATTAAACTGTTGGTCAGTTCCATTTTTTACCAGTTTGGCTTCGAGATGGGGCAAATTAGTGAAGATTCAAGAGCAGACAGCTCAAAGAGTTGATTGCAGGGTGGCTCAGATGTTATTAAGAGTTGAAAGTCCGTTTGACATCCCTCCACATGTCATCATTAATACTTATGGAAGGTCCTTTACTATCAAGATTAAGGTAGATAACAACGATGATTTCTTCCCTGAGCTTGAAGTTGGGGTTGGTGATGATGGGGTTGAAGATGGTTCTGAAGGAGGATCAGTGGATCCTTGGGAGGAGGTTTCGCCGGATGGGAGCAAAGGTGAGGATCGAGAAGATCTGCAAGGGCAGTTGAATTTCCAGCAGTTGTCAGACTCTAGGAACAGGGAAGAAGAGTGGGTTCGAGGTACCTCACAGGGAGGTGGTTCAATGAACGAGGGAATTTTGAAAAAAAAAATGCTGAAGCCAATGACAGTTTTAATGTTGACCTTTTCTGACGGGAGGAAAAAGTGGCCAGCTTAGAAGGAGTCACTCGGGGAAAGTGGCTTAGTTGTGAGTTGATTTCCAGCATCGGAAGGAGGGAGGTATATGGGCCTGAGCAGGTTAGTCCAACAGTAAACAAAAATGGGAATAAGAATGAAGCTTTTAGATCTACACAGGTTGAAAATGGTATGCAGTATGGGTCTGTATCATTGTCCCAGCGGTCCTTCTGGGAGAAGTGCGTCGGTTAGTAATGTTGAAAGAGGCTTCATAACAGAGTTTTGTTAGGAGGTGGGATGCTAAAGCTGTGGTGGTAAGGACGATGTTATGGGAGCAGGAGATGAGAAACAGGGGAGGACAAAAGAGTGTTAGAAAGTATCAAATTTGTTGGGGGTAAAGTTTAAAGGAGGAGAAAAAGAATTCGTGACCAAAGTTGCTCATTTGGTGAAGGATAGAGATGATTGAGGGGTGTAGTTGGTTCAGGGGTTAAGGTCATAAAATGGAATTTGATGATAGAATGGTCCATTATGGTTGGAATGTTAGGGGTTTGGGTAGGAAGGTTAAAGCTAGAGCTATTCAGAGATTTTTGAGGAGAAAAAACCGACTATCTTATTCTTCAAGAATCCAAATTAGAAGCTATTAGTACTATGTTAGGAAGGAAAATGGGGGGGGGGGGAAATCCTTAATGGTTTGGCTGTCGTGCTTGCTTTGTGGAATCAGAAGGTTTGTAGTTAAGGAAAAGATCATCCAGACTAGATTTGTGGCATTAAAGGGATGGATGGATGGTATACCAAACATTTGTTGTTTCATAAATGTCTATGGTCTAAGTGTGGAGGCTATAAAGAGCCGTTTTTCAGAGAGTTAACTTCGTTTCTGGAACAGGTAGACTGTCCAGTGTGCTTAGGTGGAGATTTCAATGCCCTTTTGACTCAGGAAGAGAAAATGGGTGGTGAGGTGAATGTGGTTTCGATGAATAATTTTCGAGATTTTGTTTCTAAGGCAAATTTAATTGATTTGCCTTTAGTGGGGGGGTCAGTTCCCGTGGTGTAATAATAGGGAAACTCCCACTTTTGAGAGATTGGATCGATTTTTAGTTGATCATAGTTTTTTCTCGCAATTCCCGAAGATCAGCCAAACTTTGCAGCCTCGGTCCATTTCTGATCATAACATATTCTGCTGGAGAATAGGGATTAATTGGGGGCCGAAGCCGTTTAGACTGTTTAATTATATGTTGGGGAGGAAGGGTTTAGCGAATTGTTGACAAACGAGCTGCTCAAACTGGGAGCAGGAAAACTTGATGCCATCTCCAAAATACTTAACCGGGTGAAGGATGTGGTAAAAAATGGTCTGGTAAAGATTATCTTCAATTACCAGGAAAAATCAGAACGTTGGAGTCTGTGATCCAGGATATGGAATTAAAACTGCAACAGGGTCTTTCTTGATTTCAATGAATTCTATTGTTGAAGCAAAGAGAGATTTATGGGAGTTACAAAAGAAGGAAAGAATCAATCTGGATGCAAAAGTCGAGATTGAATGGAGACTGGAGGGTGATAAGAACACAAGGTTTTTTCATAACAGTGCAATAATTAGAGGGAGGGTAAATTGCATTAAAGCCCTCAAAGTGATGGGGAAGTATAGAAGATCCTAGGTCAGTTAAAGCTTCAGTGATGGAGTTCTCAAGAGGTTGTATAATAAAAAAAAACACCCTGGAGGCAGAGGAATTAAATCTGGACTTTTTAGGCTCTCGGAAGGTCAGTGTTTAGCATTGGAGAAGCCTTTTTCTGAAGAGGAAGTTTGGGAAGCTATTGTTCATCGGATATCAACAAAGCTCCGGGTCCGGATGGTTGAACTTAGGGTTTTTTAAGAAGTTTTGGAATATTTGAAGGATGATATGATGCGATTTTTTAGGGATTTCTATTGGGGAAGGAGTGGGAGCCGAAGGTGAATTTTTCCTTCATTTCTCTTATCCAAAGAAGGCAATCCGGAGGGGTTGGAAGACTTTAGGCCAATTAGTCTAGTGGGAGGTCTATATAAAGTTATTTCTAAGGTCTTAGCTAGATGGCTGAGTTCGTGTATTAATGATATTATGAGTCCGTCCCAATTTGCTTTTATTCCGGGGAGGAACATCTTGGACTGCTCTTTTTGCAAATGAGAGCATTGATTTTTGGAGAAAAGAGGGCTGAAGGAGAGTCTTCAAGGTGGATTTTAAGAGAGCATGACTTGGTGGATTGGAAAATCCTGATACAAAAATGAGTAAAATGGGGTTTGGTGATAAGTGGAGGAGTGGATGTATCATGCATGTCAACTGCTGAGATTTCGATTTTAGTAAATGGGTTCCTACGGAGAAATTTCATTCATCCAGGGTCTGAGACAAGGATGTTCGCTTTCACCTATGCTTTTCAACTTGCTGCTGAGTTGCTGCTTTGTTGTCAACTAAAGCAGTGGATTTGGGATTGTTTTTTGGGGTTTGAATTAGGTGTGCAAGACAGAGCATTCAAACTGTCACATCTTCAATTTGCGGATGATCTTATAATTTTCAGTAAAGGCTCTATTCATAGTTGAGGAATGTTAGAAGAGTGTTACTCATTTATGAGCTTCTGGTGGGGTTGAAGTTAAATCTAGGCAAAAAACAGGATTTTTGGAGTAAATGTTGAAGATGGGGAGTTAGCTACTTGGACAGACGTATTGGCTGCTCGGTAGGATATCTTCCATCGGAATATTTAGGACTGCCTTGGGGTACAAGAGAAATTCGCTGCTGTGGGATCCTATAGTGGCGAGATTTCATGGTAATTGAGTGGCTAGATAGCTAAATCGTTGTCAATAGCGGGGTAGTATTGGTCAAATCGGTGCTTTGCTCTCTACCGATCTATTTTCTGTCTATGTTCAAATTCCAGCTACTGTGCTACTTAAACTTAACTCTATCATGGACAAGGAAAAAATCCATTGGGTCAACTGGAAGTCGGTTACTAAACCAAAGAAATTGGGGGTCTAGGGGTCCCTAATCTAGCACTAATGAACCGAGCCTTACTAGGGAAATGGGTATGGAAGTTTACTTTTGAAAAAAAGTCTTGGTGGAAGAGAGTAGTTGTGCTGTTTACAATCTGGATCCGAATTCCATTATTTTGGGGAATTCGTGGTCAGCTCGTGCATTGTGGATTTGGAAAGGTTGTGGTGAAAAACTTCTTCAACAATGATGATTTTGGAGATTGTCTTAGAAGGAATATGCGTTGAAGGCTGGAAATGGGAAGCTGTGGAGTTTTGGAATGATGTATGGTTGGGTGATGATCCTTGAAAATGTTGTTTCCTAGACTTTATGTTTTATCAAATAATAGAGCGGGCAAAGTGACGGAGTTTATGGTGAAGATTGCCTCGGGTTGGGTGTGGGGACATCCAAATGAAAGGAACTTGGTGATTGGGAAATTGAACAGTGGTTGCAGTTGATCACTATATTGAATAATACCTTTATTTTTCCTGAAGATGATTGTTGGATTTGGTTAGGGATAGGGAATGAACTTTCACAGCAAGTCTTGTATAAACTCTTTCTTTGACCATGGTGAAAAACTTCTTCAACAATGATGATTTGGAGATTGTCTTAGAAGGAATATGCGTTGAAGGTGGAAATGGGAAGCTGTGGAGTTTTGGAATGATGTATGGTTGGGTGATGATCCCTTGAAAATGTTGTTTCCTAGACTTTATGTTTTATCAAATAATAGAGCGGGCAAAGTGACGGAGTTTATGGTGAAGATTGCCTCGGGTTGGGTGTGGGACATCCAAATGAGAAGGAACTTGGTTGATTGGGAAATTGAACAGTGGTTGCAGTTGATCACTATATTGAATAATACCTTTATTTTTCCTGCTGAAGATGATTGTTGGATTTCGGTTAGGGAATAGGGAATGAACTTTCACAGCAAGTCTTGTATAAACTCTTTCTTTGACCAAGGTCGAATTGGGAAAAGAATATTTGGACAGGTTTAGCTCCTCCAAGGGTGGAAATGTTTGTTTGGCAATTAGTGCAGCAAAGAGTACCGGTTAAAGAGGAGTTAGCTAAGAGAGGTGTTGCAGAGATTGTTGATCAGCTTTTGTGTTTGTGTGGTTGGGAGGTGAAATCAATTTCCCATTTATTTCTGCATGTAGGGTTGCGTGGGGTCTGTGGTCTTCCTTCTTGAAAATGTGGAATGTGTCGTTGGTGATTCCAAAGTGTACCATGGACTTTATATTTTGTGGGATGATTTTATGACTAACTCTTTGATTTGGAAATTCATTCCTAGGGAAGTGATGTGGTCGGTCTGGAAATGTAGAAATGAGATTATCTTTCAGAAAGGAAAGCTGGATTTGGTCAGATTATCCTTCATTGTTAGATTTAGAGTGGCTTCCTGGTTTAGTGCTCGTTTCAAGGATGTGGGCATTCCTTAAGATTCTCTTGTAGGTGATTTGAAACTTGCAGATTCGGCAGACAGATCAGGAAAGGGTTGCTATCAATCAACTTGCTGGGTTCCTCCACCGGATGGGTTTCTAAAGTTAAATGTTGATGGAGCGATGGTTTTGGGTGGGAAAAGGAGGTATTGGTGGTCTAGTTCGGGATAGCAGTGGACTATTGCTACAGTGGTTCTCTGAATCAGTAGGGGGTGGTCTTCCTATCTGGCAGAGTTGTTGGCAATTAAAAGAGGGATTTGTCTTATGGAGGAGTTGGATTTGTCCCAAATCAGAGATTATCGTGGAATCAGACTCATCTAACGCTCTGAAGTGGATCCAGAATCCGGGTTTAAGCCCCCCTATGCATCTATCCTTGGTGAAGGATATAGTTTCGAGTTTGACCGGAAAAAAGATATTTAGGCATATTTTGAGGGCGGCAAATGGTAAGCTGACAAACTAGCTAAAGATGGGATAGGGTGATTTTGGGTTATATGATCGTGCTGAGTAGTAGGAATTGTATTTCCTGTTTGTTAGGTGGTTTGTTTTAAGTCTTATGTTCTTCAGTTGAAAGTTTAGGAGTTTGTTCATCTTTGTAATTTGGCTCTTGTGAATAAAGTTTCATGGCACTCTTTTCCTCCTTTGTTCCGTCATGTTACTTTTATAACATGGCAGGGCTTGAAGGAGGTTTTAATGAGGCCTACTTTCTATAAAAAAACCCACTTAAAGTTTAGGAAGTTTTGTTCTTTAATTCTGTTAGGTACTAATGACATTTTGACATTTCCTTATGTAGGATGTGGACATTGATTCTGAATATAAGAGTTACAGTGCAACTACAAGACATTCACTTGAAGCATGGTCTGGTTCACAGATTGATTTGGGACTGGTATAATTTCTGAAGTCAGTTAAGTCTGGAACTTGCCCCCCGCGCTTGAAAGGAAATTTCCTTTTATGTGATGCGACCTTTTAATTATCATTTGATTGGATGTTTGTTTTCTTATTGCTTTTCTTTTGGGTCTGCCATTTTCATGGTTAGCCTCCACGGTTGAAAGGTGATTTTATGTAATCCGACCTTATAATTATCATTTGATTTGATGTTTGTTTTCTTTTATTTTTCTTTGGGCCTGCCATTTTCGTGTTTATAGGGAAACGAAATACCATTTTCCTTTTTCTCAAAAGAGAACATATGTTGGTGATACTACAATATCATTTTTGCAAAAACCTTTTAAACCATATTATTCGGCATTTGTGTCTATCATATTTACCATTGTTGGAAATTTCTAGGTGGAGGCCACAATTGAACATATTTGCCGCTTTGAAGCTGATGGAGCTATTCTTGTATTCCTCACGGGCTGGGATGACATTTCTAAGCTCCTTGACAAGATTAAAGTGAACAACTTTCTTGGGGACCTTAGCAAGTTTTTGGTTCTTCCACTACATGGTTCTATGCCTACCATTAATCAACGAGAGATATTTGACCGTCCTCCGCCTATTAAGCGGTAAGCATTTCTTTTATATTATTTTAAAAAATAAAAAAAAATTCTTGAAGGTGTATGGTGCCCTTGTCCTTTAGCAAATAGAATTATCTTTTAAATTTTTATTTTTTATTTTTCCTAGGTGTATACTTACTATATTTTTATAGGTAACATGAGACAGTTCATTTTTTGATAGGAATAGGAGGTCTCATTAAAAACCTCCTCATAGTTGCCTCTTGAGAAGAGGCAACTAACGGAAGGAGGAAAAGAGTACCTCAATATATTAATAAACCAGAATTACATACAACTATAATTTACAACATCACCCGAAATAAAATACCAAACATAACCACTAACACTAAGGACATTCAACCTATCCCATCCTTAGTTAACTTGTCTGCCACCCAATTACAAGCCCTAGGAATCAGCCTAACCATAATATCCCTACCAGAAATTACATCCCCAATTTCCCGAACCAAAGAACTGAAGACCGATGGAGCCTCAGAAGGCCTGAAAATCCAATCCACTGCAGTTTACAATCACTTTCGAGAAAGTCTTCCCTTCAACGCCCAATCCGAATGTAGAAATAGATCTATTCCTTCTTTAATGGCTTCAAACTCGGCAAACAGAGGAGGACCAGGTCCGACAGGCTTAGAGAATAGATCACGGTAGAGCCATTCGAATCTCTCAACAGACCTCCAATTCCACCCTGCAAACCATCACTCTAACAGCCCCATCCACATTGAATTTATAAAAATCAGGTGGAGGTGGATACCAGCAACAAATCCTTCTTCTTCTTGTGAAAATTGACTGCTAAACCATCTGCAAGCCTTGGATCCTATTAATAAATCTACCTGGATGTTAGCTTTAGGAAATTTAGCTAGGAACCATTTGGCCAACCTGAATCTGCAAATGAAGAACAGTGTAGAGCTCTCAAATTCCATTTTTCAAACACACTAAGTTCCTAGCCTTCCAAATCGACCACATAACAACACTCGGGATGAAATTCCAAATAGAAGAAGCCTTCAAACGACCATGAACTAAGTAGACGGGGGATCTTTAGGCAGAACAATATTAACTTTCCATAAATTGATGAACAAATTCCACAACTCCAAGCAACAGGACAAAACATAAATAAATGGTGAATTGTTTCTTCCTCCTTTGGCATAAAGGACATAATAACTCTTCCAAAGGAACACCTCTTTCTTCATTCCACTCTAACAGCTAATTTTTGGTGAGAAATTGTCATAAAAATGTTTCAACTTTTGGGAGAGCCAATCCAGCCAAACCCATTTCTTCCACTGAAAATTTCCTCCAGAGCTACGAATAAAGCTGATCTACAGGCCTTAACTGAGAACAAACCATCTCCACTCCCTGACCAAGTTAGAAAATCATCACACATCAGTCAAAACAATAATCAATCAAAGTCATTAGAGATATCCATTGATCCAATTCCCAATCGCATAAATTCCTCCTCAGACAAATATTCCAACTCCACAAATTATCATAGCAGCCAAAGTCCACAACTTTCCCCGTTTTGTTAATCGTAAAGAATAATCCTAGGAAATTGTTTTAAGGTGAAATTATTAGCCCAAATGTCTTCCAGAATTCGATTGATCTACCATTCCCCACTTGGATCTTGGATTTGGACCTCAAACAATTCCCAATATCATCTTTTTTCTCATAATTATTCACAATTCCTCTCCATATCCATGAATCTTCTGCTGGTTAGCAACCTTATAATTGAAGAGACAAATACTATTGTGCTTGCAGCAGATCATCTTCGTCCACTGAGATGTTTATCATTTGCAAACTTCCAAACCCACTTCCCCAGAAGCACTCTATTCGCCATCGACAAATCCAGGTCACCCAAACCACCCTCCTCGTACGTGACACACAATTTTCCAATTCACCCAATGAATCGCTTCTTCAAGGGATCGTCCCCCCAAAGGAATTTAGCCATCAGAGAATTCAACTTTTGGTTAATCTTTAGAGGGATTTTGAAAATAGAGAGGAAGAAAATTGGCAAGGACGACCTAACACTAATCTCCATGCCATCGATAATGATTTTGCTTTCTAGCCCTCTAATTTGCTATTGAACTTCTGCAGAACTGGTTCTCACAACAGATCCGAATTTCTGTAAGTACCTATTGGTAGACCAAGGTATGTCATAGGAAGAGCCCCCACACAACTTGCGATCGTAGCCCATTCCTTTATAACCTCCTCATCCATATTAACTCCAAATAACTTGCTCTTAGATAAATTAAGTTGGAGGCCTGACATTAAACCAAAGACCCTCAATACTCTCCTAATATTCATAATTTGGGCAGAAGAGTCCCTGCAGAAAAGTATTAAGTCATCTGCAAATTGTAGATGCGTCAAATGAAACTTATTTTCCGCCCTACCAACACTAAACCCTTCAAACAGAGCACAATCAGCAGCCTTGATCAACATTAGATTCAGTAATTCTCCAACAATATTGAACAGCATAGGAGACAAACTGCAGCCTTGTCTCAACCCTTTCCCCATCTTGAATTCATTAGTCGGAGAACCATTGACAAGAACAGAAATTGAAGCAGAGGAGATGCACAAATCAATCCCAGAAATCCACCTATCTCCAAAACCCATAATTCTCAGAAGTCTCAACAAGATCGGCCATTCCACCGAATCATAAGCCCTTCGAAAGTCCACCTTGAAAACAACACCTTTCCTCTCTTTTTTCCTCCAATCATCAATAACTTCATTAGCCAAAAAGGCACAGTCCAGTAGTTGCCTTCCGGGAATGAAGGCGAACTGAGACAGACTAACCAGAACATTAATAACAGCCGCAAGCCTTCTAGCTAGGACTTTGGAAATTATTTTATACAGACTGCCAACTAAGCTTATCGGTCTGTAATCTTCTATACCTTCAGGATTTCTGATCTTTGGAATCAACGTTAGGAATGAATGATTGACCCAATGCTCCCAGTTCCTTCCATTATAAAAGTCTTCGACAAATTTCATAATATATGGCTTCAGAGATGGCCAAAATTTCTTAAAGAAACCCATGGTGAAACCGTCTGGCGCCGGCGCTTTGGCACTATCCGAGTGGAAAATTGCCTCCCACACTTCTTGTTCTGAGAATCTAACTTCAAGAAGCTTCTTTTGATAATCTGTCAATTTAGCAAAATTCTAATCAATTTTGTCCACCTCTAGGGTGGTTACCGAGTTAAAATTGTCCTTGAAATAATAAAAAACAAAGCCTCTCAACTGATCCGGGTCTGAAACATCCTCAGCTACCTTCAATGAAGAAATAGTGTTAAACCTATTCCTATTTAAAGCACACATGAAAAAACTTTTTGTTTCTATCCCCCTCAATACTCCATTTCACTCTTGACCTCTGTAACCAAATGTTCTCCTCCTTCCTATGCAAATTCCACAGCTCCTTCCTCGAAACAACCAGCAAGTCCCGTTCTTGAAAAGAAGTCCCCTCTTCCTGTAGCTTCAATTCCAGACCATTAATTCTGGCTTCTAATTCAGAAATATCATCGAAAAATCCCCTGTGATTATTCCTTGGCCAATTCCTAATAGCCTGCTTAGTTCCTCAAAGCAGTGAAACAGACCCCTACCACCAATACCCTTCCTTAGATTTGATAATGAAGACTCCACCACCCCAGCAAACCCATCTTCCTCAAGCATGTAATTATAGAACCGAAACAGCTTAGGACCCCAATTATTGCATTCTTCTACCAACAAAAATGGATTGTGATCCGAAAGGGATTTAGGAAGCATTTTTTGGATCACATTTGGGAACTGATTTAAAAATGAGCCACTAATCAAAAATCTATCCAGCCTTACCCATATAGGTAACTCTCTATTATTGCACCATATAAATCGCCCCCTACTAGAGGTAGATCCATCAGATTTGATGACTGAATAAAAGACCTAAGCAGATCCATAGAGTGCCAATTCTGAGTAAACCCACATTTCTCCTCAGGGTCTAGATAAGCATTAAAGTCCCCCCCAAGCAGACCGGCAAGTTGATGCTTTGAACAACACACAAAAAATCCCTAAAAAATTCCTCTTTATCAGCCTCTACTGATGGACCATACACATTGATAATGACATTCAAAATTGCTCATCTTGAACTTCCCTGATAATGCCATAAATCTACTACTGTTAATCTGTGCACTAACCTCAAAGTAATTCTCATTCCATAAACATATTAGACCTCTTGCCGAACCATCAGCTGGAAAAAAACAACTACCTCTGAGCAGATTACCCCCAAGCTTTCTTGTTAATCCACTTCGACAGACATTCAGTTTTGATTCCTGAAGTAATAAAATAGTCGGCTTTCTCTAAGAACCAACCTCGACATGCCCTGATTTTTCAGACTTCCCAAGCCCCCTAATATTCCATGTAATCATTTTCAGTTTGACATTTGGTTTAATAACATTCAACACCATATTCAATCCACAAGGTACAATCAGGAGGCCTTTCCAGTCCCCAACATCTCCATCTTGAAAATCTCTTCCTCTACAATTGACTCCCCCCTTTAAAAGAAATTCCCAGCATGTCACAACTTCCCTAGTATATTCCGCTTCTTGCCTGGCTTGAACAAAGTCTTGAATGGCTGAGACACCTCCCTAGCGTGTTCCACCGACTCCCTGTCCATGCTACTAGACACCCTCCTATATATTCTATCATGAAATCTTACTTCCACTTCACCCTCCGAACATACGCTACCCGAATGACAGGGAGCAATTCTGAACCTTCTCCTGTTCATTAAATTTTTTGACCGAGGAAAGCCCTGACCAAATTTTTTGTAGATTACAAACTGCTCTCCTTATCTAAGCATCTGCCATCCACCTCATGGTCAGCAGATACACTATTCCTATGAAAGTCCATCTGTCTATGAGAATTTAGCACTATATCCTCAAGTATACTCCTCTGTTCGATAGCCTGCTCTACAATCAATTCGACGCCTTGCTCAACTTGTACCAATTCCTTTCTCCCCCCCCTGAAATTATAATCACTTGCCTAGG